AGGCGCCGGCGGCTCTCCAAACAGCTGCTGCACTGAAGCCCTGGGCAAGGGCTGCATGGCAGGAGAGGTGGGGAGTATGTGGGCCCAGCGACAGGCAGCCCTGCCTCTCTTTATCCCCCAGTTTCTTTATCCTCAGCCTCATCATTAGGGGTAGAGGTTCCTAAGGGCTTGTGCTCGCTGTGGAGGCCTCGTGCCACAGGTTGCTCCCAGGCTGACTCTTCTCTTTGCCCTCCCCTAGGCATCAAAGGCACGGTGCTGGTGGATTATGACTGCAGGGAAGCTGTGGCTGTGCCCAGGAAGCCGTGTTGCATCTACACATCCCCTTTGTGCATCAAGGGCAGCTTTGAGCAGGTGAGTGCTGTGCGCATGAAAGGGCTGTTGTCTCTGCTCTGGGAGAGCTCGTGGGGAGCCATCACGGCTCAGCACTGTCAGATTCCTGGTTTCTGCCTTCCTGCCAGACATCACTCCTTAGAGGAAGGAAATTGCAAGCCCTTCCGCTTGTCCGTAGGGCCACAAAGTGGCGGGTGCTGTGAGTGAAAGGGCTGGGAGGTGGCCATGAGACCTGTAGCCTAGGGAAGCTGCTGATCCACACCATCTTGGATAGCAAACTGTGAAGTAGTTGCCAAAAATAAGTAGGAATCTGCCCAAATGCACAGGTTTTCCTGAAGGTAAGCAAGTAAAAAAGAAAGCAACAAGGATTCACAGCTTAGCTTAAAGCATTTGCGGTTTAAATGGAGATCATGTTGATGATACTGCCTGAGGCGGCCTGTAGATCTACATGGTCTTTGGATTTGGGAGGTTGAGAGAGGCTGCACATGAATGCTGCTTCTCTGCCTGTGTGACACCACAGGCACGTGGTATCTTCCTGCCCTGCCCTCGGTGAGCTTCTGAGTCACTCTAGCCCTGCTTCTTCCTCTGTCCTTCCCGTCAGAGCCCCTGCGGAGCCTGAAGAGCTGGAGAGGACGGTGCGGAGGTTCGGAGGCGCACCGTGATGGTGGGAGCCAGTCCCGGGCAGCCACGCCGCTTGTGGGGGGTGCCCGGCTGGCAGGGGTCTTCAGCTAGTTGTGCCAACGACTCTGCGCTGCAGGACGGGGAGCCCCGCGTGGAGCAGAGTGGGGTCCTGCTGCAGAGGGGTGAGTGCAGAGCCAGGACAGGCTGCAGTGCAGCAGGTTGCACCTTCCATCACTACACCAAATCCTTGCTCAACTGCCTTGGCCGGTCACCCTCCCGCTTCCATCACCACAGCGGGTAAAATACCCGGCAGCACCAGTCCCCAGGTAGCCTTGACCCACTGAAGCATGGTTTTCCCTGTCACATACCTGCCTCCAAGATTTTGCTTGGTAGCAATACAGAGCTGTGGGGTCAGGCTGAAGTCAGAGCTGCCAAACCTAAACTGTTTATCAGGCTCTGGAGCCCTGCAGCTTGATGGTGATTTTTCTGCAGAGATCCCATCTTCTTGGGTCTTGTGACTATTCCAGTGTTTATCATGAAGACTGTTCCTAACAGGTGGCTCCAAAACTGGACTTAAAATCAAAATTGGGGCCCCATGGAGTGTAGATGAGGCCAAGCTCTCAAGGTACATGGATGTGGGTGGTGCGGATGGGTAGTGCAGGGATCTGTGGTCAGCTCTGCTTCAACACTTCACTGATCGCAGGTTAGGATAGGCTGGGGATGCCATTAACCTGCAGTCCTCGGTACCAACAACCTGCTAGTTCAGGTGTTTGAGGTCCCTGCTCCAGCCAGCTCAGAGATAGCTGCAGCATTAGGTGAGCCTCCCTCGGGATGCACAGCCCCACTGCTGGCCCCAAGGCAGGCTGGAAGCGCGTGGAGCAGCCTGCCTAGTTCAGTGTATGCGCCTGGGGGAGGCTTCCTTGGCGAGTGCTTGGAGATCCTGTTTCTCTTGCCCAAAGGAGTGATTGATTACAGGCTGGAGCCCCTGGGACTGGTCTGACCTGCCCAGCTCCTGCGCTGCGGATCAGCACGAGCACATCGAGTCCCTGGCAGTGGGCAGGCCCCCTCCTTCCCACTCGTTCAGACTTGTCCCCAGTAGCCTCCAGCCTGGCTGGAGACTCCTTGTGCCAGGCTAGGCTCCTGGTGCCAGGCTAGGAATGAAGAGCTGATCCTGCAGGTGGGTGATGCTACCAAGTTCCCCAGGGAGCCCCACTGAGGTGGTTCCTCTTCCCATCCTCAGAGAGGCAGGTCTGGGCAGGGCTGTATGCGGAGCTGCCTCGGTCCCAGCATGTGCTCCACTGCCCAAAGGCTGCCTGAGGACCGGGATCCCAGGCTGATTTCCTTCCTCTTGCTCTGTCCCCGCAGATGCTGCGCTGCAGTGCACCCCGTAACAGCAGGCTCACCTGGACATCCTGAACAAGGTGTGTGCAGCTTCCACCCGCTGCCTTCACACTGCAGCCCCAGGCACTGTCCCTCCTCTGCTGCTGCATGGGCTGTTTGGAC